CACGCCCCGAGGCACGCACGAGCCCAGCTCTGCGCCCGGGAGCCCCCTGCCACCTGTGCGATCTGGCCGTGCACAGTGTGCACTCCACTCGGGCGACCCGGGCATCCCCCACCCAGCTCCCACTTCCCCCAGCCGTGCACTGGGCGTTCCTCTTCCCCGGAGATATTTCCCCTCAGTGAGTTCAGCTTTCTGCGCCAAGGCCAAGGGATGAGACGGGAGGGGGCAACGGCGCAACTCCCACCCCGCTCCAGCTGTGCACAAGAGCCCCTTCCTCCCAGCTCCCAGCAGCCCGGGTCCGGGCGCCACCACACAGGCCTGGGGCGGAGGGGACACTCGGCCAGGAAGAAGCCACCGGGTCGGGGGCCAGGCTCCCAGTTCTTAAGATTCCTCATTACCCTGCAAGACCCCCTGAGCAGCTCCTGGATGCCAGGAGTGAAGCAACCGCCGCCCCCACGCAAAACAAGGGGTGCCGCCGCCCCCGCGGGCGCGAGGAGACGAGGAAGGGTCCCCGGACGCGGCGGCTGGAGGCGCGGGCTGGCTGGAGCGTGGTGATGGAGCGCCGCGCGGGCCAGGCCCTCCGGGTCCCAGCACCTCCATTTTGCCCAAAAGAGAGCCGAGCAAAGGACGGGGGCCCGAGGCCGCACTCGCGGCAGGGGTTTGTGAAAAGAATGAGGTGCGGCTGACATCTCCAGTTTAGGCTCTGACACTCAGAAGGCACAGCCACAGCCCGAGCCCAGGGACAGACGGACAGCAGAGCAGGGTGGGGACGAGGCGAGGGCGGCCTTGAGGCCTGGGCTGTGTCTCCCAGGACTCTGGGGTTCGGCAAGCCCAATGCAAGCCAGGGTGTGAAGGAGCGGGCCCGGGGGGCGCTCGCTCGCTACCCAGGGGCAGGAGCAGGGTGGTGGTGGGGCAGGGGGGCGGGACAGGACAGAAGAAACCCGGAATTTGGCCCCCCAGCTATTAAGGGAGCAAGAGGCAGGCGGGGCTGGGATGGGGGGGTTAGGGGCAAAAAAAAAAAAAAAAAGCACCAATGCCGCTGATACTGCAGGGAACGCATGCATTATTGAAGCCAAGGGTCCCCCGAGTTCCCCTTCCGGGTTTGGAAACGACCGGGCCAGAGGAAGGGAGGGGAGGTCTGGGGAGTTACGTCCGTTTCCCAAGAGCCGAAGCCGGGAGACGGAAGGGACGGGGCTGACCCGGCCATACACACACCCGTGGGAATTTGGGGCTGGGGGCGATGAGGACTCCTTTTGTCAGCGGAGGTACCTGAGGTGGTGGGACTCTGCCAAGGGGTCGCTCGGAGGAGCGCGGGAGGTCCTGTCTTCCTCCGCGGCGGAGGCGGCAGCGGCGCGACGCGGATGGATTTCCTCAGTCACCCCAACTCAACCGTCCAGCGCAGCTCTCCCCAGAGCGGAGGGATCCCGCCCGCCAGTGACGCGGCCGCGCCGCCGCCGCCGCGCCCAGGGCCAGGCTGGGCGAGACCAACTGCCCAAGTGCGTGGGGGGAGTCGACACCCGAAAACACCGCGTCAGGGACAAAAGCTGACTCGGTCACAATAAAAACACAATTTCATGCTTTTCCAACTCATCAGGGAGCACAATACGTGGTTTTCTTCCTGAAAAGGAGCAAGACACCCTCCCCAGGGACAGCAGAGGTGGTATAGGCATAGGGAAGGGTGAGCCGCCCCTCTCCGGTCACGTGACCGACCTCCTTCCATTCTTCGCTCCCCCAGTTGGGCGTCTCCAGACCCGAGGCTTGTAGGCCCAGGTCTCCGCTTGGCCACGCCTCTCTGGTGAGACCACGCCCCTCCCGGAGGCGGAGCTAGAGGACTCCAAACCAGTGTAGGACAGAGGGGCAAAAAAAAAAAAAGACAGTGGCCGGTGACTGCTAGGAGCCCAGAAAATGCAATTAGAGGGAATAACATCCAAACAAAGTCTTCAGCGCAGCCCTGGGGGGTTGTAGACTCCCTAGACTAGGCCTCATACCACCGCAATAGCCGTTCATATTCACTGATTTACATACCCAAAGGTTTTTGTTTTGTATGGTGAGCCCTCTGCATAGCCAAGGATGAGCCTGATCTGATGAATCCTCCTGCTTCTACCTATTAAATGCTGGGGTTAGAATGTATGCACCAGAGTGCCTGGTTTATGTAGGGTGGAGCTCAGGGCTTCGAGCATGCTCGGCAAACATTTTAACAACGAAACCACCTCCGCAGCCTATACTTCGGTTTATTAATCCTCACGACACTGATTTCGGACTCAGTTGAGATTACGATCTCAGGCAGGTTTAATAACTTGCCTGTGCTATCACTGAAGGAAACTACACTGTGGATACCTCCACCAAGACAGCACAATAAAAGAATGAGCCTTGTTTTCCAAATCGGTTAAATGAATGTGTTGACAGTTATTCACAAGTGCCCTGGATTGTCTGGATTGCTGGGGGACACATCTCTAGTTTGTGAAAAGTGTTTTGGGGAAAATTCAAGTTGTCGAATGGCCTTCGGACAGTCCTCATAGTTTAGGGGATCAAAATACACTATTCAAAATACACTGTGGTGGATATTGTGGACACTTGTAAAGACAGAATCAAGATTTCACTTTCATCCTCACCTGCATAATGAGTTGGAGGCCAGTCTGGGCTATATGAGACCCTCTCTCAAAAACTGTATGTGTGATGGGGGTAGACTTGGGAGATGGCTCAGTCAACTAAGTTCTTGCCATGCAAACATGGCATGACTCAGGTCATGAAGACCTGAGTTTGATCCCAAAAATACTTGTTAAAAAAAAAAAATTCAGGCACAATGATCAGGCCTGTAGTCCCAACACTAGGGAGACAGAGACTGAAACTTGGAGCAAACTTCAGGGCTTGCAGGGCAGCCAGTATAAGTCAGGGAGTTTTAGGTTCAGTGAGACATCTCAAAAGTTAAAGTGGGAGCTGGAGAGATGGTTCCGAAGTTAAAAGCACTTCTCTTCCAGAGAACTTGGGGTCAGTTGCCAGCATGGTGGTTCATAACCTTCTGTAACTCGAGTTCCAGGGACCTCTAGTTCTGGTGCACTAGATACACATGCAAGGCACACACATATAAACAAGAAAAATATTCACACACATAAAATAAGATACATCTAAATTGCAAAGTAATTGAGGAAGAAACCATCCACCACGGCCCACTTAAAACCTCCTAGTCATCAGATGTGGTAGCCCACACTTCTAACTCCAGACCTGCATAGCAACAACCTGTCTCAAAAGCACAGACAAAAAAAAAATTAAAAAAAACAGACAAAAAGCAAAACAAAATCAGCAACGCAGATCTTTTTTTTTTTTTTTTTTTTTTTTTTTTTTTTTTTTTTTTTTGAGACAGGGTTTCTCTGTGGCTTTGGAGGATATGTCCTGGCACTTGCTCAGTAGACCAAGCTGGTCTCAAACTCACAGAGATCCGCCTGCCTCTGCCTCCCGAGTACTGGAACTAAAGGCATGCGCCACCACCACCCATTTTCATACATACACCCCATTTGTGCTTAGTTTTTATTGATTCTCTTTCCCACGGCATTAGGGAACACAGTGTATTTGAGAGAGGAGACACCTGAAGAGGAAGATAAGAGTTTTAGATTTGCAGCACCAAGATCAATGTTCAGTGTGTGGTGTGGAAGCTGGTCTGGGACTCAGCACAGAAATCATGCTTGGAATAAAGCCCCAAGAGCTAGTGGCACATTCAAGTAGATGAAGTCATTAAAAAAAAAAAAAAAAAAAAAAAAAAAAAAAAAAAAAAAAAAAGGCTCAGGGAAAAGACAAAATGGCCAAAGACCAACCTCTAAGGAACTCCAACATTTAGAGGTCAGACTGTCCAAACTGCCAACCAAAAAGAGCTGCCAGAGAGCTGCAGAGGAAATTAGGAGAATGTAGGGTTCTGGAATCCAAAAATGTTCTCAGTAGGGAATGTGAAGGAACGGTCATTCAGTGCTGCAGATAGATGAACCAAGACTGCTCTGAGATGTGTGCATGGGGCTGAGCAACGCAGAGGCCATTTGCAAGGAGATGAGTGTAGCCACATCCTCCAGATTTCAGAAGCATTCCCTGAAGGAGGGGAGAGCATAAGACTAAGGAAACCTGCAAGGCTCAGAGAACTTATCAAAATTACAAGTCCCACAAGGCCCCTCCCCCAAACTTCCAAGTTCATATAAGCAGCTCACAACTGTTGGGGAGAGGAGACTCCCTGGTGGCACTGCCTGCAAGCTGGCCAGGGAGCTCCAGGGATGTAACTTTTGTGTCATTCATGCTTCCCAATAAATTCATATAAACTCATTAGTTTACCAAACTAGACTTGAGGAATAACTTTCTTTTTTCTTTTTTATGAGACAGGGTCTTTCTAAGTAGTCCTGGAACTAGCTACATAGACCAGGCTGTCCTTGAACTCACAGAGATCCTCTTGCCTCTGGATCCTGAGCTCTGGGATTAAAGGCGTGCACCACTATACCTGACCCAAGTTGCTTCTTCCTGTGTTCCCATGTGTATGTGGGAGGTATGTGGGCACAGATGGACATGCACATGAGCACAAATTGGTGAGAACCTCAGGTGTTGTTCCTTAGGAACATCATCCATGTCAGTTTTATCCTTTCATTTTTTTGGGGGGGTCGTGTTTTTCCCAGTGCTTGTGTACCTCTGGAAGCCAGAGTGGTATCAGGAGCCTTGCTGTATCATTTTCCACCTTTTTCCCTTGAGGTGGGGTCTCTCACTGAACCTAGAGCGAGGCTGCCAGCCAGCAAGAGGTCTTTTGGGCTCTGCCTCCCACAGTGCTGGGGCTGTAGGTCCATGTGCATGGACACACCCAGCTTTTTACATGGTGGTTAAGTTTCAAACTCGGGTCTTCACGCTTTCATGGTAAATGACCTCACACAATGCCTTACCTCCCAAGCTTTCCAGCTTGTCTCTCACTGACCTGAAACTCACCAAATCAGTAAGGCCAGTGAGTCCAGGGAGCCTCCTGCCTCCACCTCTCCCATACTGAGATTTTAGACACATACCACCATGCCCTGCGTTTTCACATGGCTTTTAGGGATCAAACTTGTGTCCACACCCTTCCTATTGGAGCTGTCTTCCCAGCACCTTGGGTGGGATGTTTGTGTGATCTGTCATTAGTCCCATATCTGGACTAATAGGCATTTATGAGGATGTGTGAGTGTTGAGGCAGTTGGAGGGGCAACCTAAGGGCTAAGGCTTTGGAAACTGAAGCTTAGAGAAGTAATGAAGTATGGAACAGCATAGGAAGACCCTGTGGAGTCAGATGTCTGCTGTGGTTTTTTGGCAAAGGGGATGGAGATCAAACCCAGGTATTCAAGCAAGTTTCCTGCCCCTGGAGAATGTCCCCAGCTGGCGCTCTTCCTTTCACGTATGTACTCACTTTAGGGTTATTTTTTTTTCATGTACATTTTTTTAATAGGGGTTTCACTTTGTAGCCCAGACTGGTCTTGAACTCTTGACCCTCCTGCCTCAGCCTCTTGAATGTTGAGATTATAGACATACTGTAGTATGCTTGAAATTACTTGTTTTTTTTTCTTTAATAAATTTTCAGTTAATTTTTAAAGTTAGCATACAAAATGATGGGTTTCACTCTGACGTATATCACCATCATTGCACGTTGCTTCTCCCCTCCCACACTGGCCTTGCCCACTCTCCCCCTCTTCCTTCTCACAGTCCTCCTTTCTGCTTCAAGTCACAAGAATTCCAATACTCTCTTCCTCCCCCAACTCCCACCATCAAGATCTGAGTCTTCCTCTGGGGACATCAAGAAGGCTCAGGAGATAAAAGGTACTTGGTGCCAAGCCTCCTTTTGATTCCTGGAACCCACACAGCAGCAGTTGAGAACTAACTCTTGCAAGGTGTTCTCTGGCCTGCACACACACACACACACACACTCTCTCTCTCTCTCCCTCTCTCTCTCTCTCTTTCTCTCTCCCTCTCTCGTGTGATTCCTTTCTCTTCTCTCACAGTTGCCTTCTGCTTCCACGACTTACAGCCCCCCACTTTAGTTATTACTTCATTTTGTTTATTATTATTATTGTTGTTGTCGTTGTGTGTGTTTATGATGTGCAGTGTGTGTGCTCTGTCACAGCCTCACCATATGCACCAGTGGAAGCCAGAGGTCAACCTGCAGGAATCTACCCTCTCCTTCTGCCAGGTGGGTTCCAGGGGCGGATCTCACATTGTCTGAGCCATCTTCTCAGTCCTACGCCAATTTAGAATTTTTTTAATTTATTATTTTTAGG